AACAATAAAAGGCAAATCGGACGAAGATATATATGGGAGCTATATCTAAATTTTGACCGAATATCTCCAAATTTTGAATACCTGTTTCTATATGGAGGAGTTGCCAGATCGAAACAAAATTAAACATGAGTTCATAACAGAGATGGAAATTTCCAAAACATTTAACTTTTTTCTGTTTATACCGCGCTTTTTGTGGTAGGCTAAGAAGTTTCCGAACTGCTCCCCTATGTGAAAATTTTTAGAAAATATCAAAATGTATGTGACGTACCAGATATAGTCGACGGAAGGATTCCATTTTCCTACTTCGTCTAATGCAGATAAAAATATTGGTATGTGCAAAATTACAAGAAAAACGAACATTTATATCCAATTTCATGCGAAGTCATAAATTCCATATTCATCGCAGGTTTCTGGTTGAAAGAAACATTTATATATGACAATTTGTACAGAATCGCTGACTTGTTTTGTAAGTTATGGAAGATAAGAGTATTGAGAATTGTGAACATTTGTGGGTACCAGAAGTGGTTCGCAGATATATATCACCTTCACAATCTTGTGTTAGCGGGAAATCTGAAGAGAATTGGAAGCTTATCTCGCTTTCTTTGAGCTTTTTTTTCAAAATCTTGAAGCTATGTGGGGGAGGTACCAGAGGAAAAGGTTCGATCTCCACCATCTTTTTAACAGATCTTTTGCTGATAGAAATATTGAAATGTACTAAGTCTGTATGGAATTGGATGTTAATTTCGCATTTCTTGAGTTTCATGGATATTCAAATTTTGACCCTTTGTAGTTGAGGTTACAGAAGAAGTGGACCGATATATCCCACATCAGATCTTGTGTTAGTACAAATAATGGGATGTGTGAAATATGAAGGGACCGACTGCTTATTTCATATTTTATGACCGTTTTGGTTATTCAACATTTTGACCCTTTGTGGGTGAGGTACCAGAAGAGGTTCGTGAATGTATCATCTTCACAACAGATTTTTTGTTAGCAACTATATTTGGATGTGTGAAATTTGAAGAGAGTTGGATGCTTATTTCGCTTTCTTAGAGCGTTTTTTTTTTTTTTTTAAATATTGCAATGAACCAAGTCTGAATGGAATCGGATGTTCATTTCACGTTTAATGAGCTTCATTGATATCAAAATGTTTACCCTATATGAGGGTAAAGGAGTCGATCGATATATTCCATCTTCACAGCAGATCTTGTGTTAGTAGAAATAATGGGATATGTGGAATGTGAAAATTACCGGATGCGTATTTCGGATTTTTTAATCGCTTCGGTTATTCAAAACTATGACTCTTGGTGGGGAAATACCAGAAAGAATGCTCTGATCAAGATGTGCCAAGTCTGAATGGAATCGGATGTTAATTTCGCGTATTATGAGTTTCATGGATATTCAAAATGTTGAATATCCATGAATGAATAAAAGATCGTGTGTTGATAGAAATATTTAGATTTGCCAAGTCTGAGTCGAATCGGATGTTAATTTCTCGTTTTATGAGCTTCATGGGTATTAACAATTTCGACCCTTAGGGGAGGTACCGGAAGGGGTGGTACGATCTCTACCACTTTTATAATCTTGTGTTGATGGAAATATTGAGATGTACTAAGTTTGAAAGGAATCGAACGTTAATTGGGCTTCATGGATATTCAAAACTCCGTCGCTTAGCGGGTGAGGTACCAGAAGGCGTGGACTGATATATTTCATCTTCACTTCAGATATTGAGTTAATAAAAAATATCGGCATGTGTGAAATTTGAAGACAATCGGATTCTTACATCACATATTATAAGAGTTATAATTGTTGAAAATGTTGACCCTTTGTGAGGTAGGTACTTAATGGAGTGGACCGATATTGTCCACTTTCGCACCTGACCGAGCTCTGATGCAAATATTAGGATTTGCAAAGTTGAAGCAAAATTATCATTTCTCTTTCTATGCAGTAAAATATTTTCGTTGATATTTCGACCTTTGGTGGGGAGGTACCAGAAGGAGTTGACCGATGTTATCCATCTCCGGTATCGATTTAAGTTGTATAACAATATTACTATGTACCAATATTGGACCAAATCGGATTATCTCTTCGAGTGTTATCGTGCTCACCAAGCAGACAGACGGACGGACATACACACAGACTTACGGACATCGCTAGATCGACTCAAAATTTCCTGAAACGGATTTTTGTCCAAAGAGACCTAGCGTCTATACTCGTTATGTCGAAGAGGCACGTTGATAGGGTATATATTTCTAGCCATATTGCTGAGGCTATAAAAATTGACATAAATGACTATAATCTAAATATTCATAACAAATTCAGTTAGCATTTTCGAAAATTTCGAATATTAATTCCGCCAATGTTCCCAATACAGAAATACAGAAATAGCACACATCGTAATATTTTTATGGTCCTCGGCAAGCTCATAGATATTACGACCCATATAACATTTTCAGTATAGGTAGAAAGTAATTCATTCATCCTCTCTTGCTATGAACGAAATCAAAACAAGTACAGTCAAAATCACACATCGCATAAAAATACCTCAATTCACCCCCTACCAAGTTTTATTCCAAGTCACAACTTTCACAAAATCCAAAACCTAGAATTCTTAACATCAAACGGATTCCTTTCATGCATCCATAACAAAATCGAAAATGAATTTTCAAATGTTCCCCTTTCGCATGTATCCACTCCACAAGGTATTGAAACGAAAGAGAAAGTGCTCTTCCAAGTTAGTGTTCGAAAGGTGGTTGAAAGAGCTTTGGGTGAACGAATGTGTTTCGTTCATGTCACATGGAATTCAAATGAAATCCTTTGTAGCATAAAGTTTAATTTGCGACAACATTTTGGCAAATACAGTTCGTCATCTCGGATAAAAAAATTCCTATTTCAAAATCATAATTCCATTTTGAAACTGTAGGCTGTAAATAATTCATATAAAATTTGTGGTTTTAGAAGATAATATCCTTTACTCAAATTATAACATCCATTGTCAGCGCCAAGAAAAATCTTGGGAATTATGCTAAGCTCTCTTAAGGAGATTAAAATCTTTTTATGCAATCTTTTTTTCTTCAAAATATTGATGGCACTTCGAATAAAATTCAATACTTTAATTTTACAATATAATTTTCAATAAATTGTTGGTTATTTATTTAACCATGACAGCATCCAATTCCACTTCAATTATTTATGCTTTCTCCGTCGAGTATTTTTATTTGAGATTTAAATCTCAATCACTTCCTTTGTGTTGTGTTGTCATGTGCTTTTGTGCTAGTTAGAAGTTTCGTTCTTATCATTCTGTTTTCATATTTCAAAGTACGCCAAAGCTTAATAATTTCAAAAGCTTTTGTGAAAGGAAACCCAATGCGTTCTAATAAGTATGTGCGTTTAGAATTAGATTGGTGGCAAAATGTGGGCACAGTTCAACCCCTCACCAACAGATGGCGCACGGTGCAGCAAGGATGTGTGTGTGTGGAAAAACAGTTGGGTTTGTGTCGATAAGGCTGTCATACAGGATAATAGCTGGGCATATTGCAGGGGAGGGTGAACATGAGATTCTTATGAGTTTCACTTGGCTTTTTCGGATTGGATTTGCCTACATAAAACACGAGGAGAAAATGATGTTTTAGGCAGGGAACTAGGGCAGGGGGTCCATTTAGAGTACCTAGATGAAAGGGAGTCAATTTCGACGAACTGAAGGCTAAGGTCAAATAGATGAGTTGAATACCAAGAAGTCCGTATAGACCAGCTGAAGGGCAGACCGAGCTGGTGAGCCAGGGAGTCGATATAGACGATCTGGATGGCCAAAGAGTTTATACAGACAAGCTGGGGGCCAAAGAGTCCATTTGAAGTAAACTAGAGGGTCAGAGACTCTTTATAAAGGAGCTGGAGTGCCAAAGAGTCTGTATAGACGAGCTGGAGGGCCAGGGATTCTGTATAGACAAGCTGAAGGACCAGAGGATATAGAGAACCATAGATTCCATATAGACGAGTTGGTGGGAGTCGATATTGTGAGCCAGAGAGTTGAGCTAGTGAGCCAGAGAGTCGATATAGGGGATCTGGTGGAGGGCCAGAGACTCTATATAGGTGAGCTGAAGGGCCAGGGAGTCTATATAGGCGAGCTGGAGGGCCAGATAGTCTATATAGGCGAGCTGGAGGGCCAGAGAGTCTATATAGGCGAGCTGGAGGGCCAGAGAGTCGCCTATATAGGCGAGCTGGAGGGCCAGAGAGTCGCCTATATAGGCGAGCTGGAGGGCCAGAGAGTCGCCTATATAGGCGAGCTGGAGGGCCAGAGAGTCGCCTATATAGGCGAGCTGGAGGGCCAGAGAGTCTATATAGGCGAGCTGGAGGGCCAGAGAGTCTATATAGACGATCTGGAGGGCCAGAGAGTCTATAGAGACGGCTAGAGAGTCTATAGAGACGATCTGGAGGGCCAAATGGACCCCCCATAGTATCCGGGGTGATTTCCCATAGGGTCCCCGGGGAATTCCCCTACGGATCCCCGGGGGATTCCCCTATGGATCCCCGGGGGTTTCCCCTATGGATCCCCGGGGGATTCCCCTATGGTGCCCCGGGTATTCCCCTATGGGTCCCTGGGGGATTCCCCTATGGGTCCCCGGGGAATTCCCCTATAGGTCTCCGGGGGATTCCCCTATGCCCATACATTCTATGTTCTAAATTCTTCATAATTTTTGAATACACCTTCCTACTTCTACTTTGTCCAAAATTTAACGATAGAGTTTTTACTTAATAATTTCAGAAGAGGTCTCATACCAAAGAGTCTTACATTAATAAATAATTATCATCACATCATTAAAAAAAAACAAAAATTACCATTCATCAATCATATCAGCCATCGTCAGCGCAAACAGACACCCTTCGTGCCTTCCCATCTCTGCATCCTGTATGAGTTATTTAAAATAAAAGCCAAAACAAGCAAAGCATATTTATATCACATTTTTATTAATAGCATTATTTTATTTTCTATTGCAAAAAAAAGCCACAAAATTCTACTAACTACTGCCAAAGCCCATTATGTACTAATCATTATTACATAACTATATAGTCTTGTTTTTATCGTGAACATAGCCGCTGGTTAATGCGAAAATTATGAATTTTTAGCTTTATTATATGCAAATAATTGTTAAATAATAATAAAATAAAAGCATTAAAATAAACTATTTAAAGCAATTGATTTAATTAATTTAAATCTAAATGTATATTCCATGTTAGAGGTTAGTTGGCGGGAAAGCGATGGCGAGACAACAATAATATTGGTTAGCAATTGCAATCCAAGGGGTGGTGGTGTTGGCAGGAAGTGCTGAAAGTAGAGAAGTTAAAAACAAGGAAATATTATTATTTGGGGAATAAATAAAGAGTTTACATTTTAAATTAATAATATTTATAGCAAATGCAGTAAATGCAGAGTGAGATAAAAAAACTGCAACAAAGTCAAACGCCATAATTTTTACATTTTTTTTTTAATGTTATTGAATGAAAGCAATGTCGGAAATAGCATCAAATTTTAGAATAAGCTCAGTTTCTTTCGAATTGGTCACCTTTGGCAGGAATTATGGCCTTCAAACGGCCAATGAAACCGTCACACGCTGCCCGAATGTTGCTCTGCGGTATTTTGTCCCATACCCGGCGAAGTTGAGTTGATCGACACTTTGGTATTTTTAGTGTCAACCTTGCTTTCCAAAATACTCCAGACACAATAGTCCAACGGATTGACATCCCGAGATTTTGGTGGCCATTGTGCGCTGGAAATGAAGCGAGGAATCTCATTTTGTAACTATCCTGTTGGAAAGTCCAAGGTCTGCGGCCAAAATGTTTGCGTGCCCAAGGCTTTAATACACCCTCCAGAATATTTTTGCGATAATATTCAGTATTTATTCTGATGCCACAGTCGATTAATACGAGCAGAGGATGACCATCGGCTCTTATGGCGGCCCACACCATCACCATCACCATGGCCGGCGCTTGAATTCTGGTGGCCAACCGAAGGTGCACATTTTTAGCTGACCTCTTTGGTAAGTCACGATGACACGATTATTTTGTTTGTTTACAAACTGCTGGACAACGAATGTTTTCTCATCGGAGAAAACCAAATTCGGCATTTCACCCCTTTCGGCCAAGTGAAGCACTCTTTAGCTCTTTTGAGTTTAATTTCTTTCTGTTGCGGTGCAAGTTCTTACACTGCTTGGAATTTCAATGGCTTTACCCCGAGCTCATTTTTCAATATTTGGCGAATGGAATATTGTGATATGTACAGCTCACGTGCCATTTTTCAGCCACTGCGACGCGGGTCTCGATCAAGTCGCTTCTTTACTTTTCGAACCATTTCTACATTTTATCACGAATTTGCCTAAAAATTGGTATTTGTAGGTCATAGTCAGTTCAAGCTCGGGTGGCGATACATTGTATGTATAGGTCCACGTTTTTTTATAACGGTACCTCCCGATATTCGGTATTTTGATGATTTTTGCCACATTTTTCCACGGACTTGTCCAAAATTTTTATATTAAAGTTATAATGGGTTCTAGCTCCGGCAGCAGAGTATTGAATATTTAGGTCCACGTTTTCCTACAACGCACACTTTAACGATACCCAGACAGTCTATTTAGGCGAGCTGGAGAGCCAGAGAGTTTATATAGGCGAGCTGGAGAGCCAGACAGTCTATTTAGCCGAGCTGGAGGGCCAGACAGTCTATTTAGGCGAGCTGGAGGGCCAGAGAGTCTATATAGGCGAGCTGGAGAGCCAGAGAGTCTATATAGGCGAGCTGGAGGGCCGGAGAGTCTATATAGTCGAGCTGAAGGGCCAGAGAGTCTATATAGGCGAGCTGGAGGGCCAGAGAGTCTATATAGGCGAGCTTGAGGGCCAGAGAGTCTATAAAGGCGAGCTGGAGTGCCAGAGAGTCTATATAGGCGAGCTGGAGGGCCAGAGAGTCTATAGAGATCTGTAGGGCCATAGAGTCTATAGAGACAATCTGGAAGGCCAGAGAGTCTATAGAGACAATCTGGAAGACCAGAGAGTCTATAGAGACAATCTGGTAGGCCTGAGAGTCTATCGAGACAATCTGGAAGGCCAGAGAGTCTATAGAGACGATCTGGAGAGCCAGAGAGTCTATAGAGACGATCTGGAGAGCCAGAGAGTCTATAGAGACGATCTGGAGGGCCAGAGAGTCTATAGAGACGATCTGGAGGGCCACAGAGTCTATAGAGACGATCTGGAGAGCCAGAGAGTTTATAGAGACGATCTGGAGGGCCAGAGAGTTTATAGAGACGATCTGGAGGGCCAGAGAGTTTATAGAGACGATCTGGAGGGCCAGAGAGTTTATAGAGACGATCTGGAGGGCCAGAGAGTCTATAGAGACGATCTAAAGGGCCAGAAAGTCTATAGAGACGATCTGGAGGGCCAGAGAGTCTATAGAGACGATCTGGAGGGCCAGAGAGTCTATAGAGACGATCTGGAGGGCCAGAGAGTCTATAGAGACGATCTGGACGGCCAGGGAGTCTATAGAGACGATCTGGAGGGCCAGAGAGTCTATAGAGACGATCTGGAGGGCCAGAGAGTCTATAGAGACGATCTGGAGGGCCAGAGAGTCTATAGAGACGATCTGGAGGGCCAGAGAGTCTATAGAGACGATCTGGAGGGCCAGAGAGTCTATAGAGACGATCTGGAGGGCCAGAGAGTCTATAGAGACGATCTGGAGGGCCAGAGAGTCTATAGAGACGATCTGGAGAAAATGGATCCCCCATAGTATACGCACACTTTAACGATACCCACAACTATTCGGTATTTTGATAATCCTCCCTATTTTGGTGATTTTAGCGACAATATTTACCGGAATTGTTTCAAATTTGGTATTTGAATTTCGTAATGGATACTATAGCCTAAAACAGAAAATTGTTTGTCTAGGTCCACATTTTGGTATAGCTCCCATATAACCTCCCTATATTCGGTGTTCACCGATTTTTTTCAAGTTTCGCATTTGAATATTGTGATGGCTTATGACCAAAGTTGCCTATGCAGTTCCACGTTGTCTTATAGACACTTATCTAACGGGTACATTCCGTATTTTTAAGATTTTAAGAGAATTTTTAACAAATTTTACTATTTTGAATATTGCCAAATTCGTTCCAAATGATGGAGGGTATTCAAAGTTCGGCGCGGTTGAACTTACAGCTTTTTTACATGTTTCTACTCTGGGGAGTTCTCGTCCTCGAATTCGAGCGATAAACAACCGATAAAGTTTGGTGTTTTTTAATGACTGTAAATTAATTTTTGAATTAAATTATAGACCATAATTGAATATAAATTATAAATATCAGTTCGTATACCACTTTTCTAAACCAAGACCTCTGCCCAATTTCAATAACATATTTTTTTGGTACGACCCAAATGAGACTTGATTTACACTAAGAATTCAACACCCCATATAAATAAATCTTAAATCCCACCTCCTTTCATCCTCTATAATCAAAAAACAAAAAAAAAAAATAAAATGTAGTCAAAGTTTTTTCTGCTGTTTTGTGGTAACTATTCAAAAGTTGTAACACTGCGGTTACATTAAAGTTTGCCACAAACCCTAGGTATATTCAACTTGTCTAAGTGTTGCGGCTGGTATAGGAAACTTGTCCAACCGTACAACAAAAACAGAAATAGTAGTTGCTGTACCTCCTCGGAGGCCAACAGCTGCGTTTGTGTATTTTCATGCATTTGTATGTTGTCTTGACGTGGTTTTTAATTTTATTTTTCACAAAAACAAAAACTAAAAACCCAAGATAAACTTTTATTTATCCTTCGACCAATGATTTCAGTTCAACACAACATTTAAGTTGTGTGCGCAGCACAACGTTTCCTTCCTGTTACTTTTTTGTTTTTGTTGCAAAACACTTTTGAGGCTGCCCAACCCCCACTGCTTAGGTGAAAAGGATTGAATGAGCCCTGTGGATTTTTGTAAGTGAATATATTATTTTTTTTTTTTTTTGATTTTTTTTGAATTGAGAAAAACTATTATAAATGTTCTATTAAAACTTTTACTACAAAACATGCAAAAACCCATGCACACACACACACACACACTCTCATACTTGTATGGTAATGCCCATGTATGCCACTAAAATATACAATACAAGAACGCTGTTATTTTAACCGAACTGAGTTTTTTTCAAAACTTTTGAAATACAATGAAGGAAAATTTTGAAATAATATGTTAGGTTCTGCAGCTGAGGGCTTGCATTTAGTTGTACAGCGAAATGCTAATGGAGTTTTTGTATTTATGAAAAATAATAACATTGTTGTAGGGAAATGCAAATTTTGGCAAATGGCTTCTAATTTGATAGGCGAGTATAAATGTATAGCATTAGTCTTATTTCTTAAGATCATTTGGCCCGTAGAAAAAACTCTGGATGGTTTCCCTTGGCTGGTCCAATATGAGAATCAAGGTTGGAAAGTAAGATTGACATATGAAGGTGGTTTTGAAAATAGTTGCTGAGTTTCGAACTGTACTAAATGGTACTAAATTTGGCATAGTGCTGTGAACGGATGAAGCTTGAACGTGCTTTGGGGCCCCTCTTGTTGGTAGGTTTGTGATAAACAGTTGATTTTGGAAATGTGAACTACAAGTGCATGAAAAGTACTAAATAGTACTATATTTTGTACAATTTAGCATTGGGTGAACAGATAGCGCTTGAATTCTGAAATTTGGTGTTAGGGTAGCTTTCCATGTGTTGGACATATGGATGTGGTTTGGAAATGTGTACTATAATTGTACGAAAAGTACTAAATGGTACTACATTTGGTATTGGGTGTAGGACTTGAACTGAAATCCTGAAATTTGATGCAGATGCCACCCTTGGTGTCTGTGGTTAATATATAGAGGTGGTACTGGAAATGTGTCCTATAATTAAACAAAAAGTGCTGAATGGTACTATATTTGGTATTGGGTAAAGGTTTGGGGCTGGAATCCTCAAATTTTATATTGAGGTCCTCTGTTAGTATCTGGAATTGATGTATAGAAGTGGTTTTGCAAATGCGTATGTAATTGTTTGAAAAGTATTAAGTGGTTCTAAACTGAATATTGAGTGAAGTAATAGGGCTGGAATCCTGAAATTTGATATTGAAGTCACTGTCGGTGTCTGGTACTGAGGTATGGAGGTGGTTATCGAAATGTGTTCTTTTAAATGGGCGAAATTTGTTCTGATAGATACTCAAGAAATTCGTGGAAAATAACGAAAGGGTGCAAAAAGAATATATCATTTCATCATACGGCCAAAAGTGGCCGGTATAGAAACTAGGTGCCTGTGAATTAAATCC